AATCATATTGTCCAACAGTTGCACAAAAAACATCCAAAAAAGAACGCACAAACGCTACAACTAATGGTCTAAGTTGAGAGACTGAAAATGGCGGAACAGTTTTAAGGCGAGGCCGAGGCTCAGACTGAGGCCTTTCCACGGAGCTAGCTCACGTGGGTCTGATGCTCATTAATTATACAGAATTTTAGGCTTTTAATGCACTTAAACAGAAGAGTGAGAAAAAAATTCACCCCCCTCAGAGTTGTCATGAGTGTAAACTAGATCTATTAAACCTAAAACATGTTTTGGTACCAGGCTGTAAACATGTTTATTTCTGCTGTGAAATTGGTATTTTTAACATGGGAGTCAATGAGGATTTGCTCGCTTCTGACACCAGCCCCTAGTGGATGAGGGTGGAACTGCAATTTATTTCACTTCTGCATTGGCCTCAATTTCTGTCTCGCATTGTTTTCCCAACACGGATCTAATTAGAACGTTACTTAGTTTATATTGTTAAAGGGAAAAACTGAGACAAAATTCATGTGAGCAAACGTGGATTTTCTCTGCAGGGGAGATCAAACTCAGCACAATCCAGAAGAATGTGAAGCGAGTGATGAGAGAAGAGTTCTCCCTCTTCTCACTGGGGATCGGTTTTGATGTGGACTATGACTTCCTGGAGCGAATCGCTATGGAGAACAGGGGCATGGCTCAGAGGATCTACGCCAACCATGATGCTGGCGAACAGCTACGGGTATGGCAGTTGCAAGAGAATCTTTCCAAAGCAGCATCACGTGGCCTTTTTTCCTGTTCAAAGAAACAAATTCCTTCAAGCGTTCTATAAATTACATCAATATTCACTCTCACTCACTTCTTTTCTTAGCCGCTTATCCCTCAGTAGGGCTATGGGGAGCTGGTGTCTATCTCCAACAGTCATTGGGTGAGACCCACGAGACACCCTGGACAGGTCTCCAGTCCATCACAGGCACACACAGAGACTCCAGTCAGCCTAACATGCATGTTTTTAGTCTGTAGGAGAAAACTGGTGAACTCAAAGAGAACTCATAGAACATGCTAACTATACACAGGAGGGCTGGGATTCAAACCTGCAACCTTCTTCCTGCAGGGCAACAATTCTACCAACTGCACCACCATGCAGACCTATTTCTGAAACTGAACAGCAAGATAAAACATTTTATCATAAAGTTAAGCATAATTAAAGGTGCAGTATGTAAGAATACATATAACTTTACAGTGAGAAAATCCCCAAAGAGTTTAATGTTTCAGTTATTTTGGACGGAAGGTTCTACTGAAACATACTTCATATCCAGCTGGCTGAGGGGATTGTCAGTATTTCTCCTTTCAAAGCAAAGGTTGGAGAGACGTAACTGTTTGCCATCGTGAGTCTGGGGTTGCCATGTCTGCTGCAAGCTAATACTGCAGTGCCGACAATTGTAATTTGATGACGGTTGACAAAAAGCTCCAGAGTTCTTTGAAGTGGTTGCAGTAACCAGATTTTACCACAGGATGTATTTTTACTTCTTTTCCACCAGTGATGGGAATAATGACGTTTAAAATAACGGCGTTACTAACGGCGTTCTTTTATAGGTAACAGAATAATCTAATTAATTACTTTTCCCACTGTTGCAACGCCGTTACCGTTACTGGGGACGGAAGGTTGTGCGTTACTATGTGCTTGTCGAACGTTGAGCAGCAGCGTGAGGCTTTCTGACCGCCACACTTCAGCTGCAGCCAGGGAGAGAGAGGTGTCGGTAACGCGCTTACAAACACGATGATGATTGGCCGGGTGGGCGGAGACCCTCACTGTCTCAGTCGCTGCCTGCTGTAGACACAACAGAGCAGCGATGGGAATAACGCCGTTTAAAATAACCGCGTTACTAAAAAAAAAATATATATATATATACTACTGTCTTCCTTTATCAAACGTCGTTTCTGTTACTGATAAGGAAATGCGTGCGTTAAGCAGCGCGGTGTGTTGAAGCTGTCATCAGCTGATCAGGAGCTAAAGAGGTAGATGTTTTCATCCAAGAGCATCACGGCCGTGAAGAACAAGGAAGACGTGATGAATATCTACGGCTGCAGGCGTGAATCTGCAGCCGTGCCCTTCTTAGCGTGACAGCGTGACGTCCCGAAGGTCCGCTCACCTGTTCACCGCTCAGACGTCCTGATCTTCTACCTTCCTAGATCATCCAGCTGTAACCTGTTTCTGATCATGTCTTTAGTCCCGCTGTAACACTGATGCATCAGTCTCAGACGTCATGGAGCTCAGGTGTTATTAGAACTACCTGTGTGTGTTTACCACCCAGCTTCAGCTCTTCTGTGGTTGGGTCTGACCCAAGTTAGTAAATGTAAGTCCTCCATCAGGCTTGTGCCTCTTCTAGTGTCATTTTAAAGGATTTTATTTATTTATTTAACCGTTACTAGATTAGCAGCAACAGAAATGCTGCTAAAACACACAATTATGTGAAGCTGGAACAATTAAAATGCTGTGCAAAATTACATTCATTTCTGTAATTTAACTAGACTGAGAGACCATTTAAAGGCTCGGGAACCTTTACAGGTGTTTCTATTTGCAATTTTAAATTTTAGCTGATTGGGGTCTTGTTAAATATCACACAGTGACCTTTTAATAGTCTAGATTAGTGTAATGCTCCTGTTAGTAGTTCCTCCTGTTAAGTGCTTATTTATTTAAATTATTCAGGTTTATAAAAAACATTTGGACTTACATTTTATTATGTTCCAGTCATTAGCCATTCATATTTCACTATTGTAGTCATTTATAGCAAATTAAGTAAGTTTAATTAACCCATTTTTCTTGCATTCTTTAATGAAAAAAGTAACTAAGTATTATTTTTCTTGGTAATTAGTTACTTTCATAGTCTCGTAACTCAGTTAGTAACTGAGTTACATTTTTGACAAAGTAAATAGCAACTATAACTAATTAATTTTTAAAATTAACTTTCCCAACACTGATCTCTACATAATGCACCTTTAAGGAAATATAGCAACAATTTCTAAAGAGGACGTGCACAGTAGATCAACAAAATGAATTACTTTAAAGATTTTTTAAATTGATTGGATCCTTTGAGTTTTCTACTGGTTTAGGACCTTTTATATTGGTTTTTTAAAGTATTAGTTGGTCAAAACAAAAAAAATTAAGCTGAAATTTTAGAAAATATTCTTCAAATATTCAGGCAAATATTTCAAATATCCCTCAGACGTTCAAAGGAAAATAGCTGAAAATATCAGGATTCCATTAGATTTTTTTATGTTTGCTTTTCCATCCCAAAATTAAATGAAAATTTCAGAGTAAACATATTTAAAAATATGAAAGGAAACATATTTTGTTTGGGGGAATGCACTCAGAAATAAATACCACAGCAAAAAGAGGGCTGAACAAAACCGTTGCACACCACACGCAATAAAAATGTTGGATCTTTCAAAGTTAAAGTCCCATTAGTTGTCACACACACTGGTGTGTGTGCGAAATTTGTTCTCTGCATTTGACCCATCCCCTGGGGGAGCGGTGAGCAGCAGACACAGCCGCACTCGGGAACCATTTGGTGGTTTAACCCCCTAATCCAACCCCTTAATGCTGAGTGTCAAGCAGGGAGGCATTGGGTCCCATTTTTTCAAAGTCTGATCTCCCAGTCTCAGGGCGGACACTCTACCACTAGGCCACTGGTTTTTCAGGTCCGTCCTAAAAAAAAGTGAAAAAATAGTTTTTTATTCTCTCCTACAGGAGTCAGGAACTTGTTAATATTTAACAGTTTTATGAATTTTATTAATCTTACGATGTGGTTGAACAAAAGTTCCCCATCCTATAGATTTTCCTCCACTTTCTCTCTTTTTGCAGGCATTTTACAAGCAGATTTCCTCTCCCATACTGAGGAAGATCGGAATAACGTTCCCAGAAGATGCTGTGGCCAACGTGACCCAGAAGACCTTTGATAAGTATTTCAATGGCTCTGAGCTGGTGGTGGCCGGCCGGGTTCTACCTTCAGCGGGAGACACACTGATCAGCCTCACCTCGGCAATGGTAAACACACACGGTGACTCGTTTCAAACTGTAAAAGGGACATCTGGCCAAACGTAACAAGGAGAGCTTTTATTTTAAAGGTCTCTTCATCACCGACTGGTACAAGCCTTCTGATTGGCTGCTTTATTCTAAGGATTTCTCCTTGTCTGATAAGCGCTGAGGACAAAGATGTGTGTTTTTCTGTGAGACAGCTGTCCTCCCCTTTTGTCCCTCAGGCCTATATGGACATCACTTTGCAGACAGAAGCGGACATGACCAAGTTGGACATGCAGCTGAACAAACAGCAGCACTCCTTTGCTGGATTCGCCAAACAGATGTGGGCGTACTTGACCATCAAACAGCTGATCAGTGAACGGTGAGCCTTCTGGGTAATCAACTCAGTCCTGGTGTTAGACTGATGTCAGAATAAATAATCCTTTTGTTTGTCCCTCAGTGGAGTGGTGGTTCGTTGTAGCAGAAAAAGGATAAATTAAACACAAGTTAGAAAATAGGGAATGAAAAAAAATCTGTTGAGTTTATTTATAAAGCGCCAAATCACGACATGTCGTCTCGAGTCACTTCACAAAATAAACGTTCCAATTGAGTTCAGCTCATTAAGCCAATCAGTAAAAGGTTTCCTGTAATAGGAACCCAGCAGACTGCACTGAGTCACCGACTGGCGTCCAGGGGCGCCTCCAGAAAAATTTGATAGGGGTGGCCAGATGGGGTCAAAGAAATTTTTGGGGTGGCGCACCAAATTGATCCTTGTGGTATATCTGGGAGAATTTAGCCTGTGGCGATGTGCTGCATTGCACCTTTATTCGTTTTTATTAAAATAACAGTACGTATCCAAAACATTTAACTTACATTTTACAAACACAAACATTTTAGAAAAACACATTTCAGTTATTTCAAATGTTATCCCAAATTTAATTTCAAATTTAATTTTTTTTAGGTTATGGGCTCGACACACGGGCGGCGACAAACGACCACGATCAGCGAAATTCGTCGCTGTCGTTTTTATTACCTGACACACGGGAGGCGACCTGCGGCAGCGGCCAGCGGCACAGTCGTCTACGCGTTCTGTTCCATGGCGAAATCGAAACTTCCGTTGTTTTGTTTGGCTGTGTCAGGTTGGAGAGAATGAAGGTTATTTAAGCGGTTCAGAGTTAATAAAGTGGTAGATATGATGTTTCACAAGGTGCTGCTAGAGTTATGTGAAATCTTACTTCTGATTTTACTATAAAACATAATAATAATCAACTTCTCCTCCATGTTTGCTCGGAGGTGTACGGAGCATCCTGTCCGCTCATTGGTCAGTGAATGAAACCTCCGTTGATTGGTCCTCGTCCGAGCGACAGCGATGAAAAGTTGAAGATATTTCAACTTTCTGGGATCGCGTTGCTGGGTCGCCTGTGCATGACACGTGCACGAGCACAAAATTTCACACACACGTTTTTCGCGTTTCGCCTAGTAGGAGGGAGACCCGCGATTATCGCTTTGTCGTGCACGTCTCATTGAAAATGAATGGAGGAGAGGCGATGTCGCCTCCCGTGTGTCGAGCGCCTCAATTCACCTGTGTTGCTGTGTTCACACACAAAAAAACATAATAAAACAATAAAAACATTTTAAATGGTGAGCAGCAGAAACACTTGCATTTATTTTAATTCTAATTATTTCTTTCCTCATTAATTGTAATATTTAAATTTTGTTTTGCAATTATGTCTTGAATAAACAAGATCAATATATGGTTTGACTGAACAGTAATATGATTTGTTAACACTGGCTTTTCCTGGGGGAGCCAGCAATTTTCTAGGGTTGGTCATGGCCACCCCTGGCCACCCCTTGAGGGCGTCCTTGCTGGCGCCACACAAATCCCCATTCTGAGCAAGCATGTAGCGACGGTGGAGAGGAAAACTCCCTTTTAACAGGAAGAAAAGTCCAGAAGGTCCTGGCTGAGCATAAGCAGCCATCCACCACAACTCACTGGGGACGGAGAATAAAAACCGAGAATAAAATGTTTCATATAAGAGCTTAAAAATAACAAACAACAATACACAACGGGTCTGATTTCAGTGCAGGAATCACAAATACAGTTAAAATAAATAAAATAAGTTTATTGTTTCATAGGAACCTTTTACGTAGATTCTGGCATATTATTTATATTAAAAATGATTTTACAAGGTTTATTAATATTTACAATGAAGACAATTTTTACTGACTTCTCCAACAAACAACTAAGTTTTCATCTTTTTAAAAATGTAATAGTTTGTTCTTTACAAACGCATCAGAAAGGCTGAACGACAGCAAAACAGGGGTGGACCGGCCTGTCTGGCCCAAGCTTGCCCAGCTTGGACCGACACTACTCCACAGTTGGTGATCAGCAGAACATTAGCGACATGGTAACCCGAAGCTAACAGAGTTTTTCCAGGCATTTTTAGCAAGAAAAACGCGGTAGAGCGATGACGTAGGAGTTGTTTTACCGCGTTAGCATGTGGCTAATGTCCCGCTGATCTCCGCCCGTGGAGAATGAGCTGATCTGGAAGGCCAGGGCTCCGGTCGCAGCGGTCTGGCTCTGCTTGTAATTTAACAGTCCCAGTCCATGTTAGATCTCACATTCGGCCTAGAGGCGAGTCCGCAGGCGGCAACACCCCCCACCCCCGCCCAGTCCACCCCTGCACCAAAGTGTGTCGTAATCAACAACAACAACAAAAAAGAAAAGAGCATCAGTGGAAACACAACAGTGACTTTTTAATTTACAGTTAATTTACAGAGATTTTGTAATTAATTAAATGTTTTGGTGAGTAAGGGTTAATAAAATGAGCAGACTGTGTTTTAATCTTCATTTGTGCCATTTATTTGAAGGAATTTCACATTTTATAAATAACGCAAAAGGAACCAAAAACATGGTAAATGAATAATAAAGTAAGGAAACAAACCCGAAGGGTTATAATTGTTGGATTTCCATCCATGTTTGTTGTTTAAATCTGCTGTTTTTGTTGTGGTGTTCGGTGGCCGTCATCGGTGTGGCTCCCCCTGCAGGTCTCTGGCTCCAACTGCAGCCAGGAAGAGGAAACTGACCCAGCGGATCACCGCTCTGTCTCTAGATCACCAGTTCGTCACGCCGCTCACCGCTCTGCTGGTGGAGAGCGAGGACGGCAGGGAGAGGCTGCTGGCCGACTCCCCGAGGGACCCCAAACAGGGCTGCTGCTCAGGTGCCTGATTTAAAAGCAGCACGAACACAGGTTCAGCGCCAGAAGGACGTAACATCACAAATCACCTTCTCAAACTCAGGTGTCATGGGCCCCTCTAAAGTGAACATGGTCTACGCAACTCCACCCACTCCACCCTGGGTCCACGCCACAACCTCGGCCCCAAAGCAGGCTCAGAAGGGGGACGTGGTCCTGATGACTTTGCCTCCAATTGTTATGAGAGGTAAGTTAAAGCCTCGGGTCAGCACACACACACGTTTCTTTTTTTTTTCTTTTTTTTCTTTTATTACCGTGTCCTGTCTGACAAGCCTTACAGATTTACTCTCAGGTGGAGCATCAAAGCGTCTGCTTTTAACGTCACGCCTGATACTTAAAACTTTATTGTTATTGTTTTTGAATGCTTTGTAATTTTGACCAGACACAGAGACAGAGGTGAAAGAGAAAGGAAGAGAGGGGGTGGGGTGGGGGGTTGGGGGTGGTGATGAACAAGAGTCTACTTCTAGACCTGCAGAAAAGGGACACACAACAACACAAGGGGAGCAAGCTATCACTGCGTCAACTTGATGATGAAATATAAAATCAACATTGTTTTACTGGACAATCACGATAATAAATCACAGTGCATTTAGTGCCAACCACAGCCTTAAGACATGTGTTGAACGTGCCCAAGTCCATATTTATTAGAGCACCATGAGAGCACCTGTGTGTGTACACGCGCTTGTTTATGTAAGGTTTCTCTATAGGAGCGTCCAATAGAGAGTGTGAGGGGCCACAGATCTGCCCCCCAAAGATGCGTAGGAGATGGAGGGAGCTCCAAGTCCCAGAGATCTAAGAGCTGCCCCAGAGCACAGGAACCCCAAGGAGACCGCGACCAGAAAAGCCCCTGCCCCCCTCGAGAGGCGCACAGTATCACCTCAGGGGGCCACAACCAGCAGCCGGCAGAGTCCCGGGAGATATCAGCGGCAAGCCCACAGGCCCGCCCGCAGCCTCCCACCCCCCAGCCGGCCGAGCCCGGCACCCAGCAACCCGGGACCTAGGGATGACCACCCCCGCCGGGGACCCAGTAGAGCCCAGGGACCCAGATCCCACCAGGCAGCCACCGGGATTGATCAGGCAGATGCCAAAAATCTTAAACCCCCTGACCGGGAGCCATGAACACTCAGGCAGACCAAGGCACCACACTCCACACCAAGTCTGACGGGGGAGGGGAGACAAAGATGTGTAGCAGCAAAAGAAGTCCCAGGAGAGGGGAGGAGTCAAAGGCCTCACCTGACATATACAGTCATATACAAACACAGTCACACACTCCCTCCCTCATGCTCACACATGCACATACAACCTAAGACTTACAAAAATCCACACCGGACACCCACTCATACTCCCCATACACACCCTATTCACTCTGGTCCCGGTACTGCTGCACATGGGGTACAACCATCACCGGTTCCCAAAGTTCAACCCTTTCTGCTGGGGTGCTGATGAGCAGGCTACCCTGCCCAACGCTGAGCACAGCAACCCACCACCCCAGACCCCAACCAGAAGGCCAGATCTCCCTCCTAGCCTCCAGCCCCAGGAAGCCAAGTGACAACAGAGGTGTGCTAATACCCCTAGTCACCCTTCACCTGCTCCAATATGGTGTTAGTGCGTGTTGATGAGGTGTATTCCATGGCTGTGGTGAGTGGGCAGTGCGGGCATCGTCTGGCCTACGCCAGCTGATGCCACCACACCACCCCACTTGCACCCACAGAACCTCAGTGTCTAAGTGCAATTTAAAATTGGAAGTGGGCACCGGCACTCGGGAGGAGGCTGAGAAATCCCCCTGCCAAATGCCGTTGACTGTGCTCACTCCCAAGGCCCTAAAGCCTGATTCATGCTTCTGCGTCTGTGTCAGTGCGAAGACACGCAATGCCATTATCCGTCCTTGCGGGCCTGCTGGAGAGCTCCGCAAGGACGGACGGAGTCGCGCTCTCTTTTCTAAACATCGGTCCATCGAGACGGACAACGCGAGCTTCTGATTGGTCAGGATGCCGCTGTCGTCTACACCGCCGCCATTGCGCCCTCAAAAACATAAAGAGAGCCGAGGATAACTAGCGGCAGACACGGAGCAACTTGAAGAACACCTCGCGAAAAAACTCTACAACATGAACATTTAATTCCCCCGTGACTGGAGGGGTGAAAAGATGCGCAGCTAGCGTTTTATTTGTGGA